AAACTAGACTCCGCCATAGCGATGAATATGTATAAAGAGAGGTGGAGTTGTCTTCATGGAAGGGGGACGCCAACCGCATCCATGGCCTCTGATACGACAAGGTGTGATACCATTGACAAACGCTAGCCCTTCTTGCCGTACCCGCACCATCAGAGGGTGGTCTTGGTTGTTGTTGCCCGTTGGGCACCACACCACCATGCATGAGTGACCACCAAGGGATCGTCGGCCGCTACTTGATGGATTTTTATCGTTGGAGGGTTCCGATTACAAGGTTACAACTGTTACCGGCTTCACACTAATCGTACTAAGTTGCGCTGACTCTTTGTTCGTTTTCGGGAGCCAATGAGATAGATATGCAGTAAATGTAGTCCTTTATCCATCGTTGGGAGCTATGTAAATGTAATATGATCAGCTTTTTGTCCATTGATTGGAACCAGTGATAAAGATATATAAGAGTGGATGCTCGGCCCATTGTCCCTCGTTGGGAGCTATATAGATCAGCTCGTTGTCTTTTGATGGGAGCCATGTAGCAAAATAGGCTCTTTGTCCATTGTTGGGAACCACGAGATACAACCGAGAATATCATTGTAGAGGACATGGCCGTCAAGAAGCGCCCAGCCATGTCGCCGAAATAGACTTAGCCATGTCTGACCATGTGTGTGAAGATAGATGCTAGAGTGAGTCACATTCCGCGATATTTCCAGCAAAGCGAATAAGTGCCCCCTTCTGGCGGTGTTGATTCCACATTAGCAATTAGTAGAAAATTGGAATCACACGTTGGATATGGGAAGATAAGTATTGTGGTCTTTTGCTGATGTGGACCTGCACATATCATTAGTCACGCAGCCATGCAAATTCATCCCTCAACAAACCTCTTCCTTGTCCGTTACATAGAGTTCATCTCTCTCACTAGTGCATCCCATTTAGTGGGGTGACATGATAGCCATGCTCTTGATAAGTGAAATCAACCCCAGCTCTATTGTCTCTACGCTTTTCTTAACTCAAGGCAAAAGTTTGCTTTGTGCTACACAGCTTTGTCCTATAAAATAGAGAGGTTAAGTTGTATTTAAGTTGAAGGTAACTCTTGCCTTTAATTGATTACTTTACCCCTTATTTATAGTCTTTGTGACACCTTTTATGGCATTCAACTACCCCTTCTTTACTTAGTCTTCATCTTCTCGATTTTTGGGTTCATTTGGTTTATGAGACTCTTACGGTGGGTTCTTCTCCCTTTTACCATCACGTTTATGGTTCAATTCCCAAACAAGATTTTCATTCCAAGAAGGCACAATACCAACTATTTATCGATTACCATCATGACCTATCTTCTCTTTATTGTTAGTGTACTGCCTTCCACTAACTACACAGAAAAAGGCATCATTATCATTTTCTACCCACTACTTACTCATATCATCACCAACTTAATTTAATAAATCATCTATTAACTATTACTTCCTTTCATTTTATTATACAATATTATCTGTCATGATTATTTTACTTTCATCTAACTCATAAAACTCAGTTAATTTTGTTAATGGAACTTCAGGTTTCCAATTGTGTGGCACTATGTAACCCACCATGTGGAAAGGACAGCCCACCATGTGGTGCCATGTAAGCTAATATGTACCCTTCAAAATGGGAGGGAAATTTCCCATTGCCATATTTATGGTAAATTAATGGCTAATATAAAAAAGGGAAGTGGTATAACAACAATATTTTTACATAATATTTTATATAACTTTCATATTTTATTAAATGATTAGATATACTTAATATCATGAGTCCAAACTAAACTACAAAATTAAATTTTTAAATAAAATGTAAAGTTATATTAAAAAATAATAAAAAATAATTATCTCTAAATTATTTCTTAAAATAAATGAATTAATTATGCTTAAAAAATTAAAACCACTAACCAGGCAAAACACAATAATTTAAACGGAAAAGCAAAAAATTATAAAGTTTTGAACTAAACCTCAACTGATTTCTCACTCTAGATGATTTTAATTGGTTGGTTAATAAAATTATAGTTTATTTTTATATTATTCATAAAAAAATATAATAAATATATTTTTTAACTTGTAATTTAAGGATACTTGTTAAAAGAAATGCTTATATTTTACTTTTTAGATTTATCTAACTTGTGCCATTAAGGTAGAGATTAAGGATATAATTAATACACCTTTTCTTTTTATAAAAAGTGATATAGAAAATAACAAAAGTTAACATTAATTTTATCATAAATGCTACATATATTATTTTAATTAAGTGGATGATTGATTAAATAAATGAAATTAATGCTAAATTTTATTTTTTTTAATGCTAATTAATACTAAAACCTATTGTAAAGCCACAAATTAGAAAAACCTTCAATTTAATATTTTTCAAATAACAAGTTTGTTTTAATTATACATGCCAGCATGTGGCACCATACGTAAGGTTTTGGCAACAAAACTAATAGAGTTCTGTGGTGTAGATGAAAAAGAAACTATTTTGGAAATTAATAGATGTGTTTGAAAGAAAATAAAGATTTTATACTAAATAATACAAAGGTAATAATTATTAGATAATTTATTAAATCAAGCCTATCATCACTAGGTTTCATTATCTTTCTTCTTTTGCTTCTTCCCCTTATTTTCTCTTCATTATGCCACTCTATCAACAACATGTTACATTTCCTATTCCTTCAAATTCTAACTTCACTACAATTCTAGTTACATATTAAATACATTATTTTCAAGTGTTTACCACATTATGACTACAACTTCAAGTTAACTTTTTTCCTCCTACCACCACTAACTTGGTTTACGCCCATCATTTTCTTTGTTCCATCTGTTCTTTCTACACCGGGTTCTAAGCCAATTGGAACCCACCTCACTTTTAATATATATCTTATTAGCAATACTTACTTTCATACCTCCATCTAGCTTACTTTAATGACTATCTTTTCATACCTCCATCTGCTTTAATGTGAATGGGTAATTAAGTCTTTTTAATATCAGTTTTTATCCACAAATTAACTTTCATTAACTATAATACTTTAAAGTAGCATAACTACACTTATTTGAAAACTGATATTCATCTTTTTTGCATCATTTCATTGTATGGTAATAGTTTGTACATTTTTAAAATAAATTTAACAATAGATTAGCGAACAACTTATTAATTTTTAATACCTTCTCAAATTGGAAGTTATTTGCAAATGTATTATCTTCAATTACTTATGGTGATGCCACTGGAAATAGAGTTAACAATTTATTTATTGTATTATCTATGGATTAAATAAAGAAATTATAAAGAAATTCGTGTGCTCTAAGTGGTGACCTTACCTTGTAAAGGACAATCTTCTAGATGTGTGGGTTTGAGTCACATCTTTGTATTAAAAAAATTAAATAATTAAATAAATGCTAATATAAAAATCAATGTGGTTCACAAAATATGTAAACATAGAAATTAAAAAAGAGATGAATTGATTTGGGTGAAGGAGGTTTCATGGGGGTGTCGACAAGTTAGACCAAATGTCACAGAAAAATGGCCGTTCAAAAGATTTATTATCAGCTTTAAAACCTAGTCTGCTGTTAATAACTGTCATTATTCTTAGATTATCTATTTACTCCCCACATTATTAGAATTTGGTGTTTAGGGACCCAACTCCATTCCTTTTCCTAAGGCAATTCGACGGAGGTATTACAATTATTATGATCATTCTTCTATTCACATAGTATTTTACAATCAATCATTTTTTAGTTGGAAAACATGTATAAAGTTATACACATTTTTTTTGTAATCAAGGCTTTATAATTCATCCAACATGTCACTTGCAGAACCACTTGATCCTATTATTTCCCCACATTTGTTAAGACTACCACCAATGTAGTTGAATTAATTGTTCTTTTTATCTTTTTTTTTTTTTTTTGGCCCAAAACATGCTCAAATACCAAAAGAATTGGCCTTGGTCACTTGTTTTGAACAAGTATTTAATGTCCTTCTTGACTCCACTACTATTCCACTTATGTCTTATTTCACACAAGTGTACTTAATTACCATATCTCTGCCCATATCCATTGCAGACCTTTAGTGACCTAAACTTCCTCACTAATTCTGTGTCCAACATCTAATTTGTTTAATCGGCTTCAAATTCCACAACACACATAAGACTTAACTTGAGGGAAGCACAAGTTCACCGAAACAAAAAAATTACTTGCTTTCATAACAAATGAGGTCTTTCAAATATTTACACCTACAAAAGTCATGAAAAAAGCCCTAGCACAAGAAGCAGAGCACACCCTTTCCTTCTTGGACTACTTTCATGTCCAGCCTCGTTGACCCCTATTGCCTACCACACAGGTTTACACTGTAACACATAGCTACTTAACCATACTACTACTTACCTTCTTATCATTTGAGAATGAATACAAACATAAAAACATAAAAAATTTTAAAAAATTAAATTAAATGGTATAAACAAAAACCATATCCGGTTATTGACCTTTCTTACGTTTATTAAATCCCTACTTAACTTTTCCTTAAGAAATTGAGTCCCTTTGTCAACATTCTAACCCACACATGATCCACCTCTGATCCTACTACATGGCTAGCTAGAAGCCTCAATTACCTGCATCTAGATGGCCCATTGGCATCTAGATCTTAGGCCAAGGTTCATCATTTGAAAGGATTTTTGCGATTTGTGGATACTAGTTAAATAACCTCCTGTACTTTTCCGCATAACCCCTAGCCACATGGGAGTTACACCAATTAATGGCTATGTCATACACAGTTAGTCCCCTCATGTGCCAATCCCAAAAGCATGGCTTAAGTTTCAACGCGTACCCCTCACTGAAGTCATTCCACGGTCTGTCCCAATCAACTATGTCCCATTCAGAGCGCGAGGGATGCCATTCATTGTTTGCCGCCCAAATCTTCTGCATAACAACCCGCCTTCTATTTCAAAACTCATCCCACACTGTATAGACGGTGCTCTTTAAATGAATTACCTCATGAACCCTAGGGTTATACTCTACCTTTCCCTGGGTATTTACATGCATCTTCCTACTGCAAATCACCACTATGTAGCTAGTTTGGTCATGAACATGGTTCTCCCAATGGGATAAAAGGAGTAACCATCGAAGAAATCGCAAGAGATTAGTGTATGCCGTAAGTTATGCTTCGCTCATGGGCCCATTTGGCCCATTCAATCCAAGTACCCACTTCAAGAAATGCAACTCCGACTTAATAGAGACAGTATGGCTCGCCATCGCACACCTTAGTAGTGCCATCAACGGTGGCAAAAATGCATACAGAAGTGGCCGTAACACCATCATATTAGGTACTATGGGTGCAGAACATTTGGGGTGAACGACAGATCTCCATAACCTTTATGGAGGTTTGCCTCAAATCGCATAATATCCTCCCTCGAAAAGGCTACCAATGCCTTCTTTGTGATGATCGCTTTGATCTCCAGTGGCATGGCCACTAGTTTCTCAAGGATGTTTTCTTGATTGTATGAGGATGAAGTTTCACTTTTCGCCGTCAACAACTTCTAATCAACTTTTGGAGAATGTAGTAAATATAAGAAAGGGAGATTCTAGATTTTCTCTTTCTATTTTAAGTGGGTCCCTTCATTGCTCCTTCCCTTTTTAATATACAATGTTTCAATTATTTCTTTCCCCTTTTTTGAAGTTCAATTTTTGGCAAAAATACGCGATCACCCCTTTACCTTACTATGAAACTGTTAGCCTCATAACTTACAGCATAAATGTTGAGCCTCTCATCTTTTCGTCCAAAATGAAATCATCCAAAATGGATGGGAAACTCACATGCTCATTGAAATTTTGTTATTCGTTCCCATGTCAGTGCCAATGTCACAATTCATTGCCATCATCTACTGCCACCATGGACAATAATTTCAACAAGAGCGGCAAACTTCCACTTACTCCTAAAGTGGGCTGATAATAAAATATTTAAAAACTACAAATAGATAGATAATAATTTATGAACATATTTTTATACCACTTATTTATACAATTTGATGTGTCATATAAATCATTTGATCTTTTTATTTATTTAGGATCTGGGATATTCAGTGC